AATTTTTTAATATAGAATATTTAATTTCCCAATCAATCGTTCCCTTGATGTTATTAGTAATATAAAGTTAAATTAATGTTCCAATTCCTCTCCAACCATATTAACGTTAAACCTTCTGATGATGACCTAATAAGCCGAAACATGTAAAGGAAATATTTAAATTAATACATCGATTAACAGTAAAATAGAAAGTAATATTTATTCAATTTACCTTAATAACATCGATGAAAATGGATTTATATAATAATTTTAATAATATTCTTCTCAATAAGTTTTAGAATATACAGCCAGGAGCTCCAAAAAGATCCAAAAAACTTTCATGCGCAAGTTCATGGACTGCGAACGGTGTGCCTTTTCTTTTCGCAGTTTTGATTAAAGTAATGTATTGGTCCAGTACGTAGATAGGCGAAGATTTTAACGCCTTTGTGATGTTTCTTTGAATTAAAGGATGTGCAGCATCCCCCTTATTCTGCGTATGTCCTTTAATTAAAAATTTGTGAGTAATACTTCTTAATTTTGGACAATCATTACAATTTATTGCATATTGGTACATGGCTAACATAAATTTATTTTTCTGTTAGCTACAACAGTTGTCCCTGTAAAATATGACATCGAAGTCATCAAGTATGCTTAAGATTTAAAGGTTGTAAATACATTAGGACGTAAGACCCTATTTCATTCACACCACGAGCACCTTCTCACCTTCTTCACCTCGTGGGCAGGGCATTACAGCCTGCAAATCGTAGACGCATACTATCAAACTATCGCCCACATTCTGTTTGTCTGTTTCCTTTTCAGCTCTAACCGAAATCTTTCTCATTCAAATGTAAGTCATATTTCTCTTGTGAAAGCGTTTTATCAACAGAATTAATGTAAGCTACGCAGTCCTCGCACTGATCTTTTTTTGGTTGCCAAAAAGAAATGTTAAAATCGTTTACCAAAACATTGTAATATATTTGATAAGGAACATACGGTTTCCCATCAGCTTTACACTTATCAACATCAAAGCAGCAACAAACTTCCTTCGATATATTCACGTTTTGTGCGAGCTCAGCAATAATGACTCTCGATACGGGGAATAGAGTTAATGTGGGCCTTGGCACCATCTTTCAAAGCAGCCTCCAACTTACTCTGGTTACCATGTTTTCCACGGTTATCTTGTACTGGTCACAACGGTTCTAATACCTTTATCAGATATTGGTAAAGGAAAAAAATCTTACATACATCAACGCGAGTACTGTTTTGAGGTAGATAGTATGCGTGGTTAGGGTTTTGACGAGTGCTACCAGGACGAACATATCAATACTTTGGTTCTATTTTGTCATATTACTGTGGATAAACTGCCTCTGAGCGTATAAATCACCCGTTTGCCAATAGTTCTCAAATATGGCCAATCGTTGCTCAAATGTAAATTTGCTCGAACACTTCAGTTTGCAATTATCTTAACAGGCAGGTCTCATTTTTTAGCATCAATTCTTTTCTTCGATTTAGACATCGATGTATAGGCTTTAGCACCGTTTCTTAGATCCTTTGATTTATTTCTTTTCCAAGATTCTGGGTTAGCTTTTCTTTTTCTTGACGGCAGGTGAGTGTTTACACTTGTTGGTTCAACACTAGGTGGCTGAGTATCAATACTGGGTGGCTGAATATCAATGCTTTGTGCCTGCAAGTCAATACTGGGAAACTGAACGTCAGTGAAGAATTGGGGGTCTTACACCAGAAGGTTCAAGTTGGGGTGAAAATGGTTTTGACTGTACATCTTCCTCTGGATCTGAAGATATTTTGTCGTAGGGCTGAAAATTTGGATCCTTCACACTATCGTCTGAGGAAAAATCAGCTCTTGTGCTACTTGATGACGTAAAATTACTAGAATCACTGTACTCACTAGAGTCGCTCGAATTAACGATTCTTATTGGCATTTTCTTATTTGGTCGTCTAAAAGAAACTTCATCATCAAGTATCGATAAGCTTAGGTAGAAAAAAACAGATAGAATTTTTACTTAGTAAATAAGTAATCGTTATAGTAATCAAAATAGATGCATTTCTTATTTCGCAAATAATTCATTACATTATTATTTTATTTTATTATTCATCATTTTATTTTTAAAATGTATCCTTTTATTACTAAAAAGACACATTTTAAATACTATACTTTAATCTACAAAAAAAGGATTTATTCTTATTTCATTATTTACAAAACGGACACATTTCTAAACCAGCATTTTAAATCTAAAACAATTCATAATTTATATAAGTACGAAGCCTTTCACGGCCGGTGTTAATTGAACTAAAATTAGAACTAAAACTAGAACTAACACTAGAAACTTTCGTTCAAAGTGACTTTGAACCAGTTTCTCAAGAAGGTTGCAACATGGCATCCGAAACGTCAAACCATTTCTTAAAAGACGCACGGCAAAACCCGAAAGTTTCTAGTGTTAGTTCCAGTTTTAGTTCTAATTTTAGTTCAATTAACTCCGGCTGTGAAAGCCTTCGTACTTATGTCAAACATTTTCTTAAAAGACGCACGGCAAAACCCGAAAGTTTCTAGTGTTAGTTCTAGTTTTATTGTTAGTTCTAATTTTAGTTCATTTCATAATTTAGTTGAATGTGAGCTAGCGCTGAATGCCGGGTCGCAACTAAAAAAATGGCGGCTTTGCACTGAACTTAGCCAGCAAACTGCCAAAATGCAAAAAAGACGCTCATGTAGTTTGATTACAATTCAAGCGAAAATTGTGGGTGTCTTCAATTTAACGTAAAATATTACTGATTTGGATCACATTTTTCAATTGTAATAAGATTCGTTGTTTTTCAAAACACATTTCTGGATTATAAAAATTCAAGAAAATTTTTTAGGTTTTATTACAACAGAGACCACCAGAATTGGATTGTCTTCGTACATTTTAAACTTCTTAAAGGAAAATAACATAAATTATAAACATATGCTTGTGCGAATATGAAGGGCATACACAACTGACTTTAGAAAAAAATATTGGATATAAATCCAAGAGCACTTTATGTACCCTATACCGCGCATACTTTAAATTTAGTAGATAATGATGCTCAATGCAAACAATGGATTTCTTCGGAATTGTACAAGAGGTGTACACCTTTTTTTTCCTCCAGCACTAAACGATGAAAAGTCATGAACGATAAAATCAGTGGATTAACACTTAAACCATTATCAGATACAATCTGGGGAAGTCGAATTGAGGCGATAAACCCCTTACGATTTAATTTACCAGAAATTCTTACACGAAATTGTAGATAGTAATGGAAATGGAGAAATGTCATTTGATTTAAAGACAAATCATATGGCATTGTCGCTTAAGAATAAAATGGAATGTGTCAAATTTATATGTGCAACATATTCTTTCAAATGTCAATATTGTAAGTAAAATGCTTCAAAATACTAAAATAAACTTGGTAGATTCAATTGAAAAATTAAAATCGTTGGAAAAAGTTCTTAAGAGTTTTAGAACCGATGATTATTTTGATAAATTGTGTAATTCTGCTTCTTTGGTCGCCGAAATCATACAGCTAGATCCAGATTTTCTACCGGAACTCTGTAGGAGAAGGCGGAATCAGTTTGTTTACGAACGCGAAAAAGAAACCTTGCTGTCACCGAAGCATCATTTTAAAATATCTTTTTCTTGGCAGTACTTGATAAGGCAATACAAGCAATTCATGAAAGATTTGAACAATTACATTATTATACAGATACATTTTAACTTCTTGCATAATGTTTCCACCTTAACTGATATGTCTGAAAAAGAGCTTTTCCAACATTGTAAAACCTTAAAAATTAAACTTACAGACTTAAGTAATGAAGAATGCCCGAGGGATATTACTGCCTCAGATTTGTGCCGTGATATAAGACTGATCAACAATTTTATTACTATCGAGCAAACACCCATAAAAGTTTTGAACTTCATTCATAAAAACAGTGTAACTTGCGAGTTTTCAAATTTATCCGTAGTAATAAGAATTTTGCAAAAGTATTCCAGTTGCTGTTGCTATTGCGGAAAGGTCTTTCTCAAAACTAAAACCGATAAAAAATTATCTTAGGACAACAATATCACAAGAAAGATTAAATCTTAAGGAAATTGTTGCCGAATTTGCAGCAGCCATAGCTTAATTGATTTGGTGTTTTTGTTTATATTTTGCATATTATAAAATATATTTTATTTTTCTGAAGCTACGCCAAAACCTGACATTTTAATCCTGTGCAATTCTTTATTCTTCACTCCATAATAATTAATAATATAAAATCTTTAATTTTGTATCGATTTTTAAGAGTCAGCGTCATCTAGCGGCTTGTCGTTTAAAATCGACAGCTTTCTTTAGTATTTGTTACCTCCGCTTACTTTTCTCTTTTTGTTGGGACATCCCCTTTTTCCCAAAATATTTCTGTTCTTTCCGGATTTAACGTTTGTTATTTATTTATTATTTAATAGCTGTGATTGTCACAATGTAGAATTAACAGTAATATTGTAAATAATTATCAATCCATCTTTTTATTTAATCTCCCAATATTAACATTGAACATTTCAAACGACACACACTATTACAATTAAAAAGAAGTCTATCTGATTAAACAGACATAATAATTAACTATTATTATTTATTATTTTTAATTTTTTTATAGTAAATTAATTGTACGTCTAATTATTTAATAGCTCAATAGATGGCGCAAATCTAAATGTCAAAAAAATTATCAATCCAGCTCTTTATTTAATCTCCCAATATTAACATTGAACATTTCAAACGACACACATTATTGCAATTAAAAAAAAGTATACCTGATTAAACCGACTTACTAATTAACTATTATTATTTTTAATTTTTTTATTGTACATCTAATTACTTAACAGCTCAATAGATGGCGCAAATCTAAGTGACAAAACGTTCAAATGTCAAAAACTCCTTTACACTTTTAAACTTTTTTATTCTTTACCCTGTGTTTTATACATAATTTTAACGAGATAATTTTAGTAAGATAATAATGTTTAAGATATAAATTAACATTTGTAAGTATACAAACAGCATTAAAGCTTTTCTTAAAAATTTAATCTTTACCGCACTTTTTTTATGCAACTACGAAAAAGAAGAACGAGTTTGTGCTTCTTCCCTCGTAAATACGCAAATAGTTCCCTCTAAAATAAGTGTAAAGCGTGGGCTCTTCGACACGAAGTGAATTAATCAACCGATTTCTTGTTGAAACTTGCTCAAGAAAAGACAATAAACAATGTCTAAACACGCGAAAAAAGGTGTGAGTCCAAGTTTAGCGGACGCTTGGTTGGATGGATTAGGATTTTATCGAAAAAATGTTGCATATGATGAAACGTGTTTGTTCAGGGCAGTTTCCGAACAGGTAAATTTCTTAATTTTTAATGTAATAAGATCGTTATAACATTATTTTACGTTTCTAGTTATATTCGTGTCAAATTTACCATCAAAAGTGTCGCCAACAAGTTATTGATTACGTTAAAGAAAATTGGGAACAATTTGAGTTTATTTTACCTAAAAATAAATTATTTAAGCACCTCGATTTATTAGAAAAACATATGGTGGTTTGTGGAAACCTAGAAATTCAAATAATTAACAAAACTTTTAAGAGAAACATAATCATTTTTAAAGCAAACAGCCAAAGTATTGAAAAAATCGCTCATAATGGATTTAATGACACCTTACGGTTGTGTCTTATGGGTAACGATCATTATGATGCAGTCTATATTAAAGATTATATTCAAACAGCAGGTTTTTGTCAATGTAATTAATACTTTTTTTAAGTTTACTTATTTTTTTTTTAATGTTTATTAATTTAAAATTACAGCTATTGCTTATAGTTTACTTTATGAGAAAGTTTTTGATATGAAAGATGTCTCAGAAATTGTTAATACAATGTTAAACAGCAACACTTTCATTGCTAGCAACAGTAATAATAGTAATAACTCATTGAGGGATGATCATACTCGTAGAAAAAATTCAAATAGATATTATAAATCTAGCAAAAATAAAGATGTGATGATTGAAAGCGAATATAAACACATGTTGGAGACTAAAATTACTCCTTTTGCATTCAGAGTTGCAAAATCTTTAGATCCTAATATTTATAGAAACATTGAGTATGATACATGGATTGAAATGAGAAAAGGTGAATTAAAAAATTAATAATTAAGTACAGGGTCTGTCATGATGAGCTGAGTCTATACAGGGTGAGTTTACTAAACCATTTGAAAAACAAAAAAATATTTTATACTAAAGTTGTTTGACTCATCACTTTCTACATAAAATTATTTTCAGTTATACAGGATGTTCTATTTAAACGTAGCGGAGAGTACATAAGTTTGTTTAAATGGAACACTCTGTATATTTTATCCTATTATAAATACAACTAAACTTATTTATACAACCACATATGTTACTATTTCACAGCGTTCATAGTTCCTGAGATATTCAACTGTTCTTCCAAAATGTGCCCATTACAAGATCTTTTTAAAAACTGTAAAATCGACATTTTTCCGATTTTTCCTTGAAACTACGTCAGGCTAATATTCAAAGAGATTAGATACACTATACAGGGATGTTTATAAAGCTTAATTACTTTTGATGTTTTCAAATGGCTTTTTCTTAAGTTTATTAAATGGAACACCTGTATATTGTGCGCTAGTTGAAGTGCTCATCAAGTTCCCTTTAATTAATGATAAGTATGTCATGTCTAACTTTAATAGTTTTTCTGATATTTAGAATTTAAAGAAAAATGTGTAATAAAATGTCATAATTGTACTTAAAAAAGTGACAGAATGTAATATTTTTTTTGTTTATCTGTCATTTGTAAGTTAGTAATACTATATTAAAATACAATTTAAAAAAAAAACTTTAATAAATAAATAATCAAAACGTGATAAAAATACAAAAAATTCAATTAAATGGCAGAACAATAAATCCCTTTTTTAATTATTAAATTATTTAAAGGAAATGTAGCAACAAACTATAAACAATTACTAAACGTTACTCAACAAGTAGGTTTTAATTTAATTAATATTTAGAAGTTGTTTAACCCTTTGTGCCCCAAGAAGTTAAAAATTTTGATACTTTGTGAAAAACTTTCATTACTAATATAAAAATAATACGTTTTTTATTACGTTAGAAAATAAGTAACACTTGCTTTAGCTAAATCACATTACGATATTCAGAAAAAGAGTTCTTTTTTCATTACAACCTAAGTACATTTTGAGTGGGGTCTAGCTTTGGCAGAACAATTTTCACAACTTCCTCTTTCTTTTGAAATGCGCTACGACATTTTCGTGGACGCAGTAAATTTGAATATTTATTTATCAGTCCTGTAGCTACAGAACGACGAAAATCTGATAGAATATTGAGAAAAAACATATTGAGCAAAAACTAACATTTTCGCATAATGTAAGTGTCAAAAAAGATGCTAATCCAAAATTTTCTGGAAGCCGCATTTATTAAAATTAAGGAATAAGACTTGTTCTAAATTAAAGCTCAAAGCTTTTTCTTTAAAATGATGTATAATAATTGTTGGGTTGGATTGGAAAAATATTGGGAAAAAGAATGTTGAAACAAAACTTACATTTTCGTATAACCGAAAAGTGTCAAAAAAATGCTAATTTAAAAATTTTTGGAAGCCGTATTTATTAAAATTAAATAATAAGACTTGTTCTAAATTAAAGCTCAAAGCTTTCTCTTAGGTATGTAGCAGTTGGTAACACCGTAACTCTTGAAAATAGAAATTTGAATTGACAATTAGAAACTGTCAAAACACAAAATGTATTCACCTAAAAAAAATGTTTCATGTACACCTCCCAAAATAAGAGAAATTGATCAGAGTTCAATGTCCTCATCATTGTGGACCTTGTATTCGATGCTAAGAACGTGTTTAAACATCCATAGACAAAAATTGTCACATTGACAACTAGAAAAATTAATGACCCAATGTCACCAACTTGAACTGGTTCCATAAAATGTTACTAAAATCTCTTTACAGCATGTTATAGTTCCATTACCGTCGCGAATTACAAAAATTAAATTTTACATGTCTCTGACGTTATGTAACGTAACTTTTTTTATAACTAGTAATGTAATGATTTCATTACATCACTAGTTCATTACCTAACTACAAATTGACATCTGGTACTACCTAATAGAATAGGTCAAGTTTTTAACAAAAATTACTTTTTCAATGGAATTAGATAAAATATTGTACTTAACACGTTATGAAACGGCTAATTTTGTTTAACTCACGTAATTTGCAAAACTCGCTCGCTTCGTTCGCTCGTTTCGGCAAATATTACGTTCGTCAATCAAAATTAGTCTTTTCATAACTGGTTACGTAAATAACTATTACATTATAAAATATTAATCAAATAATAAAAGGAAGAACAAAAATACTTATAAAAATAGACAGAATATCTTTAAATTCTAAATATCAGGAAAACTACTAAAGTTAGATATATGACATACTTATCATTAATTAAAGGTAACTTGATGGGCAATTCAACCAGCACACAATATACAGGCTGTTCCATTTAAAAAACTTAAGAAAAAGCATTTGAAAAACATCAAAAGTAACTAAGCGTTATGAACACAGCTTTTGTATAGCGTATCTAATATCTTTGGATACTATTATTTACCTACTGGCTTTGACTATTTACGTTTTACATCGTTTTTAAAAAGATCCTGAATGGGCACAATTTGGAAAAACAATTGAATATCTCAGGAACTATGAACGCTATGAGATAGTAACATATACGGTTGTATAAACAAATTTAATTCTATTCATAATATGATAAAATATACATTCTGTTTCATTTAAAAAAATCTACATACTTTCCTCTACGCCTAAATGGAACACCCTGTATAAGTGAAAATAATTTTATGTAATAGAAAGTGATGAGTCAAACAACTTTTGTAGAAAACATTTTTTTCTTTCTCAAACGGTTACTAATAACTCAACCTGTATACAAGGTGTTTCATAATATATGCGCAGGACTTCAGGATGTGATTGCTTGTCCAAAAATTTTAAAAAAAGTTTCTATCAATTTACCCTTTAAAATGCATCAGTTTCGAGATACAGTGTTGAAATTTAATAAAAAAATTCGTTTTTTGCGAATATCTTCGGAACCGTTTATCGTACAGAAATCAGCTTTTGTAAGCATTTTCTACTCATAATAAGCTAAGTTTTGTGCGAGAAAATTTTTTTTAAATTCTTAATTGGTGAAGATTTTGAAGGGGTAGTGGTTGTTTTTCTTCCCAACTTCTACGCCACTGGAAAAAGTACGGTTTTGAGACGCGGAATCGCGGTGGCCAAGGGTGCGGTCTGGGTATTCGTCGGCGTCGTCCAAGTATTGGCGAACAACCAAACTAACGTAGGCCGGAGCTCCATCATGCATAAAGTACATGTTTTGTCTTACTTCAAGCGGTTCATCTTTCAGCAGTTCCGGCAGTACTTCATCTAGATAATTGTCGATAATCTGCACCGTTTAATCTGTTCGGTAAAAAATGTCGGCCTATCAAATGATCACCGACGATGGCAGCCCATACATTTACAGAAAGTTGTTACTGATGGCCTTCTGCAATTTCATGTGGATTTTCTTCTGCCCATATATGGTTATTGTGAAAATTGAAAATACCATCCTTCGAGAAAGATCATCGATAAACAGAACTTCGGCTCCAAACTCAGGATTTTGAGCTATTTTGTCTTGCATCCAAAAGGCCAATCTAGGCGGAAAATCTCTTGGCAATAAAGCTTATACTTTTTGGATATGGTAGGGATACAAAAGTTGCCTTTTCAAAATTCTCCAAACCGTCGAGTGAGATAGGTTTAAGTTGTGAGCAATTTTTCTGATACTTGTGGTCGGATTTTCATCAATTTCTTTGAGGACAGCCTCTTTTACTTGGGGATTTGCGACTTCCATAGGCCGCCCATTATCAGCAGTATTCCTTTTAAAACTTCCATTTTCCCATAGTCGTCGCAAATATGTAATTTGAAGTTATGAGGTATATCACAACCTCAAATTTAAATTTTCACATTTTGTCATTTCTAAAATAAGTTATTGTAATAGTTTCTTGTGAGAGAACCTTTATATCTTAATCCGATGAGCTCCTGTTTTAGTTTGTGTTCGTTGACGTCGTTTTCCTGAGGATGACTGTTGTACAGTCGAAACCGGTAGAAAACTAAGCTATTTACAATAAATATCATCGTTTAAGTGCAGTTTTTAATTTATATCATTTTTTATGGCAGCTAAAACTTTAAAATTCCAGTACTTATCCTTGAAATTGTCTTTCACGAAATATGTGTAGGTTAGTATCACTCCAATAAGAGAGTTATGCCGGTTAAACACACTATTTTTGTGAAATTTTGCTTCATCCGTCCAAATTATTTTTTCCAAAAAATCTTCATCTTCTTGAGTTTTAATCAACATAAATTCACAAAAAGCAATTCTCCTTTGATCGTTACCTGGCCTTAAACTTTGTGCCAATGTGTAAGAATAAGGTTGAAAGTTATGGTTTTTTAAAATCCTGTGATTGCTTTTCTCAGATATTCCCAAATCTGTTTTAATATCTAATAAGGAATTTTCAGGATACGCGCTGAAGTACCCCAAAACTGTAATTTGTTAAAAAACTTGTCAAGGGTTGTGTAAGCTATGGGTCCTCTCTGTGGACTCGACTGTAATTTCGAAAAATTATTTTTATTGTGAAGGGCTTTTTCTGCCAAAATTTTCTCTAGACATATGATCACTTATATCAAATTATATTAGAATTTAACGGGGATCTCGAAAATTCAATAAAAATTGGTACTTCCCATTTAAAATAACGAAGTTGGAGTCCATTTCCGGTATAACCGGAAGTTGGGGAAAACTGAAAATATTTTAGCTGAATCAAGCACTTCTGGTAAACCCTGTATGGAAATTTTCACAAAGATAGTGCCAGTAGTTTGCCATATACATATAGACTCAGCTCGTCGTGACAGACCCTGTATATAATTAAATTTATTAATAATTATTTTTTAAGAAATGCGTTTGGGTTCTTGGTATTACGGTGATGGAAATTTGATTAGAGGAACTAGATGCCTTCTAAAATCATGTGAGGGTACATTGCAATGTTATATCCAAGATTTAGAGAAGCACAATGATCAATGTGTTGTTTATATAACAAGTTTAGCTGAGAGAAGAGTTGTTAAATACACAGATTTAAATCCTGAACCGGATGCAAAACCATGGCCGTTACCATATCGGTAAAATTAAAAATATTTTTTGACTAAATTAATTAATTATTTCTCTCTTTTAGTTTTACAACTCGTTCAAACACGCCAACGTCTTTAACTAACGAAGTTATTCCATCAAATGATTTAAATAATTACAGCACTAATATCATGAAAGATAAAAAGGAGATTATAAAAGGGCAAATAGCTAAAGGAAACAAAAGTAATAAGAAGAATCAAGGTAAAATTGGTAATAGAAATGTTCCTGCTTTAACTCTTCCAATTAAAACTGATTTAAATGATAATAACATTAAAAATTTTGAAGGATCTCCATTGGTAAGTATTATTTTAAGAGATTTTGGTATTTTTTTTTTATTTAAATCAACTGTTGGTGTTTTTTCATCAACTATTTGTCTACTTTTTTTTGTATAATGGCTCTTACTAACACTCGCCCAGACCTGCACACCATTCGTCCATATAGGCTTTAGGATGGAATGATACAGAAGCAATTTATTTCTTATCTATGTTCACTAAGGTATTATTGTCCTCTCATACCCTGTATGTCTTACGTAACTGGTTCGTTAGAATTTTTTTAGGATCCACTATTCGTACAGTTTTGAAATTTTGGTAGCATGGGTTGTTTATTCGGAACTTTCGATCTAAAATATTTTCAAGATGGCTGCCACATCCAGTCTACCGAAAATAGACCATAATAATAACCGTTTCTCCATATTCAATGGGGAGAAAGTCGAAAATTTTAAATGGAACGCCTATATTTTGTTAGCCTACCCAAAAGGAAATGTAATTCTCTACAAATTATCTATAAACATTTCTATACATATTTATTGTAGTTTCTGTCATATTGGAAAGTTTATCGAAACATGCAGGAAACGCCAGAACCGTTTGTATTTTTATTAGAAGGCAATAATATTTTGACAGTTTTTCTATTATTATTTGTACTATTAACTACGATTGATGATCTTCAAGTTTACTAGTTTTTATTTACCAAAAATAACAAACGATCATATAAATGAAGCAATGAAAACAAAAAATTAGATTTGGATAAAAAATATAAATTTATAATACAAATTTTTTATTAAATTTAATTTAGAATTGTAATAAAACACGATAAAATATTTATTTAGCTGTCTTCATCACTGGTGACCGGAAATAACGGTTTCTTTTGGTCTCGATATGTCCAGAACTAAGAAAATCTTTATCAATTTTTTGAAAATTTTCCTTGTGATGGGCGTTAGGCTTGTTAGGCATCTCTCGTTAAGCGTTCGACACGTCTTGTACAAAAGTTTATTACATTCGCCATCAATACAAAATAAATTTCAAATATCGGCGTTGGAATAATCTGCCATGATGTTCAACATAGATAAGATATAATATATTTGTTATATAGATGGGCAACTATAAACGTTTGATTGAAATGCGCAATTAGTTTTGGATACTGTCACCTACAGCGCTGAAATCATTGGCAGGCGGGAAATATAAATTAAATTTGTTATTTGAAAGGTTTATCGATGATTTTTTACGAAAGCATTGCTTGGCGACAAAACTTTACAAACTGTGCAAAACTTTAAACACATTAAATTTTGTCGTTTACAATGTTTTACTAAAAAACATCAAAAAAACATGACTAGGTATTAAATTATTATTTGGTACAGGGTTTATTAAAAAGTCTTTAAATGAATAACAAAGACTTTATTCTTTAATTTTTTTATTGTTATTTTTACCACATCGTTTCCTTTTAATTTTATTGCATTTATCCAATGCTGCTTCCGCATCAATCGTACTTATTATAAAGCAACAACAAATCGCTTTTTCTTCAAATCGCTAGCAACTCTTCCACTGTACACAATACAACGCAATCAAAAATATTAGTATGTCAAACCTGGTCAAACCAGTCAAACTGACAACTCAAAAAATTGCCAAAATGGGTTCTGTAATCGAAAGCAACGCCATAAGTGACAGTATCCAGAATTAAACGTATGTTCCCAACTTCATTAATACGAGTGACTGGTGCATGATGTTCAATGACTTGCACCCGTCGTCAAATGTAACTAATGACAACAATAATACAAACATGGACCAAAAACGTCAAAATTCCATAGCTTTCTAATAAAAAAAACCTGCATTTCGTGCATGTTTTAATAAATTTCCCAATACGAGGCAAACTGCAATAAATAGGTATAGGAATACTTATAGATAATTTGTAGAGAATTAAATTCCCTTTCTGATAGGCTACAAAAATGGGGCGTTCCATTCAAAATTTTCGACTTTCTCGTCATTGAATACGGAGAAAGAGTAATTCAATTTTTGACCATCCCGTATAAGATACTCCGATACAACAAATGACAATCTATTTGACAGTATCTGAAGAGTAATTGTGCCAATGTAGATCTTTTTTGAATGAACGTTGGCTGAGATATAGGGTTTTAAAGAGAGTGGTGAAATTTGCCAAAAAAAGCTTAAAACCAAAATAACTCGAAAACGAAAAGCTAGGTACCAATAACTCTTATCAAAGTCAACACATTTTTCTACATACAATTAAAATTGGCAATAAATACTATAGCATTCCATTTAAAATAACGAAGTTAGTCTATTTACGGTAGAGCGGAAGTGACGGTCATCTGGAAAATATTTTAAATCATATAAAATCAATAAATGAATCAATAAAAGTTCCGAATGAACAACCCATTCTACCAAAATTTCAAACTTCTACGAATAGTGGAACCTGAAAAAGTTCTGACGAACCAATTACGCGAGACACCTGTATACATATTAATACATTTTTCTATATACACAGTGTGACCCATTTAAAAACAGGACTCTCTCATAAAATTTGTATTTATTGTCTGATTTTTTAATTATAGAGCGTGAAAAACAGTTTCTTAGGACAAAAAGTCACATTTTTATTAGACCTAACACATTAAAATTATGTTAGGGATTTTTTACATAAAATTTGTGTACATTACTGGATCAAGCACCCTTTAAAATGGGTATATACCAAAATCTATCAAAAATGGTGGTATATTAATAGTAGCAGACAAATTAAAAATAAAAAATGGACGAACTACTTAATGTACTTAAAGTGAAAAAGTACGTAAAGCGGAAAATGTTTTGAATTATTTGTACGGGTATCCGTATACAGGATGTATCTGAATGACTGCAACAAACTTCAAGGGGTGATTCTTTAGTGGATTTTAAGGGTACTTTGATATATTAACCTTGGGGACTTCTGCTCCCCTAAGGAGCTACACCCCTCCAAAAATTAGATATGGAAGAGAAGGAAAACAAAAAACTTCAGTTTTTGGCCTTAAAAGATGAATCGTATAAGTGTTTTTTATTTTTATGTGTTACACGTGTTTCGACTTTGAAGTCATCCTCGGACACAACTACGGATTTACAAAAAATTAAGAGGAATGAAATTTACGAAATCTTATTAAATATATTATCGTCAATTAATTGGACCACATGTTGAAATTTGAGATGTTATATAAAAAATATTGAATAATCTGTTAACAATCAAAAATGAATATGTTTAACTCATAATAGAACTCGTTTAGACCCTATTTGTACTTTCAACCTACGCTTCTAAACTACTAAACGTAACCACCCCCGTTCAATATATGCCTAGATTTTTTTTATGAAGATGATAAATACATTGGAAAAATTTCAGTTAGATAGCTAAAACTATTCTAAAACTTTTTTGTCTCTCTGATGTTCTTCGAAAATTTAATAATTTCTGAGAAAAAAAATAATTAAGCAAACACTAACTGTTAAGCTGTAGGGTTGTTAATCGATAGTTGGAATGAATTTTTATTGAAAAAATCTTAGTAGGCTTTGCAATCTTTGTCAGAAATATTTTTGACGTTTAAATGTCAGTGGTTTTCGTACTATTATTATTGTTTTATTTAAAATTTTGAAACGTCGAGTGAACGAGCGTAAATGCGATAGAACTTTATTTAAAAATTAATTTGAAAAACAATAATAATAATAAGAAAAACACTGACATTTAAACGTCAAAAATATTTCTGACAAAGATTGCAAAGCCTACTAAGATTTTTTCATTAAAAATTCATTCCAACTTTCGATTAACAACCCTACAGCTTAACAGTTAGTGTTTGCTTAATTATTTTTTTTCTCAGAAATTATTAATTTTTAGAAGAACATCAGAGAGACAAAAAAGTTTTAGAATAGTTTTATCTATCTAACTGAAATTTTTCCAATGTATTTATCATCTTCATAAAAAAAATCTAGGCATAAATTGAACGGGGGTGGTTACGTTTAGTAGTTTAGAAGGGTAGGTTGAAAGTACAAATAGGGTCAAAACGTGCCCTATTATGAGTTAAACATATTCCCCAAATTTCATTTTCCTAGCGTTTATGGTTTTTGAGAAAAAAAAAATAAACCAAAATTTTCCGCCATTTTTGGAGGGGTGTAGCTCCTTAGGGGAGCCGAAGTCGCCCATGGTTCATATGTCGAAGTACCCTTAAAATTCACTAAAGAATCACCCCTTAAAGTTTCTTGCAGTCATTCAGATACACCTGTATATGGACCATATTGTGGGTATTAACTTTAAAACAAGAACTAAAGGTATAAACACACAATAAACTTTTATTTTAGAAACATAATCAAAAATATGCACAATAAATAGTTATTTTTGATACAAAAGAATTTCGCTGTCGTGTATCAAACAACATTTTTTCGAAAACTACATACGTGTTCTAAAGTTAATAAATTAATAAAACGAAATTCAGTATAAGGACATTTAGAATTCATTCAATGTTATGTCAAAAACTTAACGTCACATCGACTTAATCTCACATATTGAACAAAATGTTCTATTATAAATTTGCATTTAACCCTCGGCATACAAGGTGAATTAATTTCACATGCCACAGGAAGTGAGGTATAACATACCCCGGAAATAAAATACTATTTCTATAAAATTTTACATAAAACACGATCTCGCGCGTCTTTTTTGTTTTTCAATTTTTTCAGTTTTCCTGAAGCTGGGATATATGATACCCCACCTCCTATGCGGAGGGTTAAACATGAAATGAAATGATAAAACAATCAACGATGTTACCAACTGCTACATACCTATTTCCCTACATGGTCAAAATTTATTTTATTTTTGTTAAAAAAAAGGATAAAAACACGAATTACAAAAAATAGCATAAAAAACACGTTTCATAAGATTTAAAGGACTCATTCATATTTTCGTGCTTTAAAACAAATAAACTAGATTTAACTAGATAAACTACTATTTGTTTTAAACCAAGTGATCATACTGAAAATATCTTTTAGAAGAGCATGAAATG